TTTATTAGGTGGAAGCTGAATATGAAGAGGAAGTATCTGATGTGGAATCTGGGGAAGAATCTGAAGAGAAAACTGAAGTAAGTTGATGTGAATTTTTTTCAATTTTTCAATGAAAAATTAACTTTAAACTCATGTGTCTATGATGATTTTAGCAGAGTCGTAAAGGAACTGAAGGTCTGATTGAGATCAATAATCCTAATTTAGTCAAGTCAAAGAATTTGAAAGCTAAAGATGTTGATGTAAGTTTCATGCATCCTCCTTGTAAATTATGTATTACTGAAAAGGTTGTGTTAATAGCAGGTGCCCAAAAATATTAGTACTTCACTCATTAATCCATTCTTTCTTTTTTTCCTTGTGCAGTTTGGGAGACCAACTGAACTTTCAAGGCGTGAAAGGTTTGTTATTGCGCATTGTTTAAAGTGGGAGGATGCTACCTTAATTAAACAGAACTCTTTATAGGTTCTTGAGTTGGTTTTGATTTTTGAACTGATAGATAAGGAAGAAGAATTGGAATTTTCTTTTATGAAATATTGTAAAAACAAATCAGTTTAATCAAAGATAGGATGGAAGAACAAGTGGATTTTTCTCTTACGAAATATTTTAAAAACAAATGGGTTTAAACAAAGATAGGATGGTAGGGCGGTGGCCATATCTTAGAATAGAGGAGATGAAAAAATGTCACAAGCCCATGATCAAATTGTTGTCTGTTAGAATCTTTCAAATGAAGCAATTATCCTTATTATATATCACTTCTCTTGTGTGTTTATAGAGAGGAACTGGAGAAACAAAGATCTCATGAACGTTACATGAAGCTGCAAGAACAAGGGAAAACAGAAAAAGCAAGACAGGATTTAGGTGAAACTTAGCTATTTCTCTTTTCATATTTAGTTGTGCAATGTTGAATCTTTGGTGTTTGAACTGGTCACTGTGTTAATGGTGATGACTTTCAGATATATGCAAAATTTTGCCTGCCTTATTACTTTCCATGATCTTGCAACATGTTAAAGTTACTCGTATGGTGGCATATCTTGGCATCACCACTTTCCTCTTTGGCTTATTTATACTAGATATATGGGCCCTTTTTAGCTTTTATGTGATTTTACATGTACTTGTTTCAAAAGTTGATAGTTTAGAAAATAAGATCAGAGTTCTTTCAGGAGAAAGTGAGATTATATTTCTTTTCGCCTCTTTTCCTCTGCCCTTAAGCGTAACAGTGGAAGATCTTGTGATATCAAGCAATTCCTTTTTTTTTTTTTTTTTGGATTACTGCTGGCTAATTTGCGCTCTCTATTTCTTTGACACCCACTTCTGATTGTGGTCTTGATGACTAGCTTCTAGCTTCAATTACCTGAAATTTGAATAGGTTTAGGAACCATGAGAACCCTAAACTTGTATCCAATCTGATCTAAACCCGGGCTGAGCATATTTTTGCGCCATTCCCACTTGATGTTCTTCAGTTGATTGACAATGTATGCTGTTGTCCAGTGCTACTACAATTAGTATTTTGTCATATTGACTTATTGTTGCACATGCAGAACGTTTAGCACTTATACGTCAGGAAAGGGCTGAAGCTGCCAAAAGACGGGAAGAAGAAAGGGGAGGTAATGCTCTGAGAACATTCAGTTTATTTGTGTTCTTAGATATATGATTTTAAAACTTACTTATACATATATATTCACTTGTTTCAGCCAAAGAGCGGAAGAAGGCGGAAGCTCGGAAATGACATTCCTAGAGATTATTGATGTGAAACAAGTGACTTAGTACAGGAAACATATTTCCATTATAGATTGTGTTGTTGTTTAACTTTTAATCAAAGATTTATATAGAGGAAACAATTGTCTCCTTGATCTCTTTGCTTATAATTTGAAGATTTATTAAATAAAATGATTTTTATTTCACTGTTATTTCAATGTTTGGCTTGGCTTCCTGTGGGAGGTGTAGGACTTCGACGCCTTTATTATTAATATTTTTTGGGCTGAATTTTATTAATATTTCACATAATTTTAGAATATATTTTTTATAAATAGATGCTTTTTTT